TTGGTAAATCTTCTTTGATAAACATACTTTTGCTCTGTACGCCCTTCAGCCCATGTAAATTGCCCTCCTCCCAAAAGTAACTAGCGGCCTAGGGCCTAGCGACTACAAAACGGCGACCGAAAATGTGAACACGAGATCTGCGCAGCAGAAGAAAAGGCAACAAACGGCGTCCCCTATAGACAACATGCAAAGAACAAGAAGGGGGAAAATAAACGAAGGAAAAAATGGGAAGCCTATACAAAACTATTCTAAAAGTTTCTAAAATTAATAGTTCAGGGAGAGGGCCGAACGTAGATCGATCCGAAACTCAAAACTACAGTTTTCATTTATTTGGTATTTTATTTTAACTTTTTCTATTGCTTAATTCTCATTCCTTTTCATTTTCACAGGGGAATCTGATAGTGATTAAATAAGTTCACACCATTTTAGTTATGATTCCACGCTGTCAAGTTTCTGGTATTTAACCATCGTAGTTGTCTGTCACCTTTGTTTTGATGAGTTTCTATGGCTTTTTATATATTCAATTTTTAAAACAAGCGTTTTCTCTGTTTTTTTTCTACATCAGCAATTGTCAAACCTAATTCTTTTCCTTCATTATTTTTTTTGCACTTGCGATAGCAAGTTTGTTGCAAGCGAGGACTATACTTTTTCCCATAAATGACTTTTTTGACAGGACTTACTGGATTCTTTTCCTAGAAGCCTCTAATAGCAACTAATTTTTTTGCAACAGATAAATTTTTTGCAGGCTAGCTTTTTGAATAACTGTTATTTTCGAAAATAGCTTTTTTTGTTGGTTGTTATTTTACCAACTCGGTTTGGTGAACTTTCATTTTATTGTTTTTTTTTCATTTTTTTTCGGCTTGATCGGCTATGGGTTATTATATATCGGCTTAGTCGCTTGATTGTCTTGTGGCGAAAAAATGCCTTGTGTGCATAAGTATATGTTTCCATGGCGAGTGGGACTTGATAAATTTTTGTAAGTCATACCTTTTTTTAATTTTGTTCGTTTTTCCCCTTTTTTTGACGTTTTAGATTTCGCCCTATTTTATATCGGCTCAGTGGCCTTGTGGCCTTTTGTTGTTTTGTTTGACAAGTGAAGAAGTTTTTGTTTGCGTGTGTGTTTTGACGGCGAGGGGGACTCAATCAGTTTTTTAAATATTTTTTTTTTCGATTGTTTCGATTCATAGGGTTTGTTCTACATTATTTTCTGCTTTGATACCGCTTGGTGGGTTTTCTTTCGATGGTAATTTTTCATTTTATTGTCTGGGCATGTTTCAAAATTAGTTTTGGTAAAAAGATTATATTTTAGAATTTTCGAGTAGTTTTTCGATTATTCAATCCGTCAACATTCGAAATTTTGAATAGGTTGTATTAAAGACCTTTTTCACAATAATTCTGGAGTATCGTGTAGTAACTCGTTTAGCCTGTTCACAGTTCCATAAAAACTTATCAAAAAAGGAGCTTTTAACCAAATTTGGAGCTGTCATTCAGTGGTTTTAGGGTCTTTTCGGTAGCTAAACTAGCTTAGAGTTCCATCTTGCAATTTTTTCGAAGTTTGTTTCGTTTCCTTTTTTACAAAATACCCTCAATGTGCAGATATGAGTTGCTGTATTGAAGTTCAATTAATCAGATTTTTTTCATCTTTCCCTTCTGCTTTTGGTAAATCTTCTTTCATAAACATACTTTTGCCCTGTACGCCCTTCAGCCCATCTAAATTGCCCTCCTCCCAAAAGTAACTAGCGACCTAGGGCCTAGCGACTACAAAACCGCGACCGAAAATGTGAACACGAGATCTGCGCAGCAGAAGAAAAGGCAAAAAACGGCGGAAGCGACAAATACGTAGAGCAAGCCTTCGGCATCGGCAACAATCATTCTAAAGGTGGATGAAAAAAACAGCGAGGAAGCAAAGGTTGATTTTCTATGCAAGCCAGGATTCGATCAGATCATGGAGATGACGCGGAAGAAAACGAAAGGCGGTTGACCAGATGGGTGCAGTTATGATAGACAACATTCAAAGAAAAAGAAGGGTAAAATAAACGAAGGAAAAAATGGGAAGCCTATACAAAACTATTCTAAAACTTTCCAAAACTAATATTTCAGGGAGAGGGCCGAACTTAGAGCAATCCGAAACTCAAAACTTCAGTTTTCAATTATATGGTACTTTACTTTAACTTTTTCCATTACTTAAATCTCATTCATTTTCATTTTCATAGGGGAATCCGATAGTGATTAAATAAGTTTTTCGAAATTTGTTTCGTTTCCTTTCTTACAAAAGACCCTCAATGTGCAGATATGAGTTGCTGTAATGAAGTTCAATTAATCAGATTTTTTTCATCTTCCCCTTCTGCTTTTGGTAAATCTTCTTTGATAAACATACTTTTGCTCTGTACGCCCTTCAGCCCATGTAAATTGCCCTCCTCCCGAAAGTAACTAGCGGCCTAGGGCCTAGCGACTACAAAACGGCGACCGAAAATGTGAACACGAGATCTGCGCAGCAGAAGAAAAGGCAACAAACGGCGTCCCCTATAGACAACATGCAAAGAACAAGAAGGGGGAAAATAAACGAAGGAAAAAATGGGAAGCCTATACAAAACTATTCTAAAAATTTCTAAAATTAATAGTTCAGGGAGAGGGCCGAACGTAGATCGATCCGAAACTCAAAACTACAGTTTTCATTTATTTGGTATTTTATTTTAACTTTTTCTATTGCTTAATTCTCATTCCTTTTCATTTTCACAGGGGAATCTGATAGTGATTAAATAAGTTCACACCATTTTAGTTATGATTCCACGCTGTCAAGTTTCTGGTATTTAACCATCGTAGTTGTCTGTCACCTTTGTTTTGATGAGTTTCTATGGCTTTTTATATATTCAATTTCTAAAACAAGCGTTTTCTCTGTTTTTTTTCTACATCAGCAATTGTCAAACCTAATTGTTTTCTTTCATTATTTTTTTTGCACTTGCGATAGCAAGTTTGTTGCAAGCGAGGACTATACTTTTTCCCATAAATGACTTTTTCGACAGGACTTACTGGACTCTTTTCCTAGAAGCCTCTAATAGCAACTAGTTTTTTGCAACAGATAAATTTTGTGCAGGCTAGCTTTTTGAATAACTGATATTTTCGAAAATAGCTTTTTTTGTTGGTTGTTATTTTACCAACTCGGTTTGGTGAACTTTCATTTTATTGTTTTTTTTCAATTTTTTTTTGGCTTGATCGGCTATGGGTTATTATATATCGGTTTAGTCGCCTGATTGTCTTGTGGCAAAAAAATGCCTTGTATGCATAAGTATATGTTTCCATGGCGAGTGGGACTTGATAAATTTTTGTAAGTCATGCCTTTTTTTAACTTTGTTCGTTTTTTCCCTTTTTTTGGCGTTTTAGATTTCGCCCTATTTTATATCGGCTCAGTGGCCTTGTGGCCTTTTGTTGTGTCGTTTGACAAGTGAAGAAGTTTTTTGTGTGCGTGTGTGTTTTGACGGCGAGGGGGACTCAATCAGTTTTTTAAATATTTTTTTTTCGATTGTTTCGATTCATAGGGTTTGTTCTACATTATTTTCTGCTTTGTTACCGCTTGGTGGGTTTTCTTTCGATGATAATTTTTCATTTTATTGTCTGGGCATGTTTCAAAATTAGTTTTGGTAAAAAGATTATATTTTAGAATTTTCGAGTAGTTTTTCGATTATTCAATCCGTCAACATTCGAAATTTTGAATAGGTTGTATTAAAGACCTTTTTCACAATAATTCTGGAGTATCGTGTAGTAACTCGTTTAGCCTTTTCATAGTTCCATAAAAGCTTATCAATAAAGAAGCTTTTAACCAAATTTGGAACTGTCATTCAGTGGTTTTATGGTCTTTTGGTAGCTAAACTAGCTTAGAGTTCCACCATGCAACTTTTATGACATTTTAAGGTGAATTTGTTTCATTTAATTTCTTACAAAATACCCTCAATGTGCAGATATGAGTTGCCGTAATGAAGTTCAATTAATCAGACGTTTTTCATCTTCCCCTTTTGCTTTTGGTAAATCTTCTTTGATAAACAAACTTTTGCCCTGTACGCCCCTCAGCCCATGTAAATTGCCCTCCTCCCAAAAGTAACTAGCGGCCTAGGGCCTAGCGACTACAAAACGGCGACCGAAAATGTGAACACGAGATCTGCGCAGCAGAAGAAAAGGCAACAAACGGCGTCCCCTATAGACAACATGCAAAGAACAAGAAGGGGGAAAATAAACGAAGGAAAAAATGGGAAGCCTATACAAAACTATTCTAAAAGTTTCTAAAATTAATAGTTCAGGGAGAGGGCCGAACGTAGATCGATCCGAAACTCAAAACTACAGTTTTCATTTATTTGGTATTTTATTTTAACTTTTTCTATTGCTTAATTCTCATTCCTTTTCATTTTCACAGGGGAATCTGATAGTGATTAAATAAGTTCACACCATTTTAGTTATGATTCCACGCTGTCAAGTTTCTGTAATTTAACCATCGTAGTTGTCTGTCACCTTTGTTTTGATGAGTTTCTATGGCTTTCAAATTTATGGAATAGAGGGTGATGTTGGATATTCAAAAAAAAATCTTTCTACTCCCAGAATTCAGCAGATCGGTATGATATGTCTAGGAAAAGATATCTTAACATCAAAAATCTACTCCGGTCTTGTTTTCTGATTTACAGTTTTTTTCTTCAATGAGAAAAACGGATTTTTGCATACGTTTATTTTATAATTTAGAGAGTGAGAAACTAAAATTCAAGTTTCTATTACATAAAAATTGCATGCAAATATTGTCTTTCAAGATTTACTTCATTATCTAGTCTCGCACTTCAGTTATTTGTTAACCGAGTTGAAAGCTCTTTTTTAGTCGCAAAAAGCATTGAGGATATGAGAAGTTATCATTTCGTCTGTTCAAATCAATCGCTGGAATCACATTCTCTTCGACAGAATGAAGGAAATAACGAGTATAGAACATTCGAGATACAATTTATTTTGTTAATTTAGTTTTCTTCTCAAACTGTTATTTGTTTAGTTGTGAATGAATTGCTCTTTTTGAAACCTTCGGATGAGCTGGTGTCCAGTACACTTGTGGTGGATCTGTACTCTGTGGTTTTGCTGAACCGGATGATGGGCGAGAAAGTGTTCTTCATTAGTTTCTTGTAGGTGAACTTGATGAAGATGAGACCCACTGGCGCACATAAAAGGATCGACAGCAGACTACCTATACATACATGCGTGATACAAAATTAACACGCAAAAAATTGAAAGTTTGAAAAAAAAATCAGTTCAAAATTTGATTACAGAAAAAAATTGAAACCAAAAAAAAAAAAGTTTTCATGTTCTTTCTCTCAATGAAAAGTTCTCTAAATGTATTGTTGTGAAAACTAGCAAAAGTAGTTTTGGTGCCTTTGAGGATGTCATTTGCCATCTGGAACTCGTGTTTGTGGTCCTCCCTGTACTGTTCTGGGTCCCCACTTTCCTCCGCCTTCTCCTCCAGGGTAGACAGGGGCACTCGGCCCATTATGGCCTGCACTGTGGCTACAACACATCACAACTGAACACAACATGCTTCAGATCACATCCAATGAGAAACTGATCAGAACACTACATTAGATCAGATGAGGGCGAATCCCCTCATCAAATAAAGACCCACTGGTGAAGATAGGAAATGGATGTGTCAATTTTTTACTTACTTCTACATATTGTTTTCTGGTCAACGATGAGCCAAGACTCCGATTTTTTTTAAAGTAACAAGTTTTATTTAAAGTTCATTTTGTTTTTATTACAAACTCAAATCATGTCTGACATAGGTTCCATCAAACTCTTACTGCTGACTTAAGACTAAAGAAACCACTGTTTGCAAAAAGGGACGAGTAAAAATTGCGATTATGTTGTTATGATTACATCCATGACTCAAAAGTTGTGATGTGATAAAACTTGAGTAATTTTAGCCATTTATTTTTGACAAAAAAAGCCGTTGCCAACCTTTGGGGCACCAGGCTAGCGCCACGAAAATACACTCCTTCAGAGACCACTCCGATTCCACGTTATTGGGGAGACTCCACTGCACTCCCACGAGACCCCCTGGTCTGTTGCCCCTCCCCCTTCCAGTCCTCTTCTTGCAACATGTGATCATGCCATGCAGTTTGGTCACCACGAAGGCCCATACACATCTGATCACCACTCCGAATATGATGATCAACACTGAAGCACGCCAAGTTCACTGTTTGGGCTCTTTTCCAGTTACCCCCCCTTTCAAAATACCAAGCTTTATGTTTGTTTTACGTGTTATTACGGCTAAATGCGTGATGTTACGCTGTAAAGTATGAAGAACAAATCTGTTCACGCCAAATTTCATTGCATTATGACAACGTTAAATAAGCTTTTCAAAATTGAATTTGAAAGGGGGGGGGGAACTGGAAAAGAGCAACTGTTTGTAACACAAGTCGTTATTTAGTGCCATCTGCTCTATTTCGTAGTAGATTTTGATAAAGACCCGAGTCCATTTACCCGAGTAAGAGTGAGTTTATAGACAAATTTAGCGCCTCGCTTCGCTAATAAAAACCAATCGCCTATTGGCATTGATCAAAGCAATTTTTAAATCGACTGAACTTAAAATGAATAAAGGTCGCAGCAAAAAATTTGAAATTAGCATCGTTTTTTTTTGCGGGGTGTGGTAAAAGAATCCGAACAAAAAGCTACAAAAAAAAAGTCGAAAGTCAAAGTAAATTCAGCAAATTGGATATACTTTTTGTAGAAAATGACAAGAAAAACAAAAAATCGTTGAACAAAATTTTTCAAGTTTTTTTGCAGATTTTTTGAAATTTTGAAGTTTTTGATTCCTGAAAAATTGCTGAAAATGTGCGCCTAATCTTCGTAAAATCTAAAGACTCAAATGATTGAATAATTGAGAGCATTTATCGGTAAATAAACTCCAAAAACCCATAAATCGTGAATTCCATTTGAATGTAACAGCAAAAAGACCAATAATCTGCCCCACAAACGGTACAAATTGGCGCAAACTAGCCACAAGAAACGCTAATGAAGTCCTTGAGACAAATTATTCGTTTTGACGGTCAGCCTTAATCAAGGCTGAACCGAATAAGAACCAAAAAAAAAACACTTGACACGCTTATTCAGTAGGAGAACACAGTCGCGAAGCCAACGACACCAAATAGCCTTAGCGTACGACTGCGCTGGCACGTACTTTTTTTGTGGTCAAAGTGGTCCCTGGTAGAAGCGAAGGAAAGCTTGTGGCATGTGGTCAAAGCAAAAAATGGTTTGGAGTTTATGCTTCCAAACCACGTGAATCGGTACTAACGGGAGTGATTGGCTTAGAATTCAAAGCCTGCTTAACTAAGCAGAGTGTTATTCCTAACACCTCTTCAGTAACGCGCCGCCTACCGCCTATTATACCGTAGAGCACGCGCTTGACACTTCGAAAGAGGCGCTCCAAGGAGCCGCCATGGTGGGGTGCGCCTGGAATGTTAAGTTTCCAAGCAACACCTTAGTGTGCAAATATGGTCGGAGCTATGCCGTTCCAGTTCTTGATGCAAGCAAGTATTTCTTTTTCCGCACCAACAATGTTCATGCCATTAACTGACCAGATCGTGCTTGGTGTACCACGACCCGCAATGAACCGTTCAAATCCGATGACACAAGAACTAGTGTCCAGAGATGGCACAGCTGCAAAAAGTACAGCCCTGGTGCTGAGACAAGTGGAAAGAAACACCCATCTTTTCTCAACTCTTCTGCGAACCGGAACTTAAGCCAGGGTCCAAAAAAATCCACACCCGTATGATAAAGGGTGGTTGCTTATATCCGAGACGTTCGACAGGTAAATTGGACATAATTGGGGCTGTATTGTACTATCTTTGCGTTTACGGCATGTTGCACATTGACTTTGGATAGACTTAAGTAGTCGACGCAGCCCACGCATTGCATATTTTAAACTTAAAACGGAGTGCATCTATTCTATATCTTTTTAAAATGCATGTGTTGTAGGCTGCGGGCCAACAAGCAAAACAGGGTATGACGGGCATCGAGTAATTTTGAGTGCTTAGTATCAAAATTGGTGTTCACTAAGCGAACAATCCGGTCGATCGAAAGAATGATACCGGCGGGACCAAAAAACGGAGAGTATGTGGCACTATTACTACTTTTCTTAATATGTTTGCCAGCGGTGAATTTTTTCAATTCAACCGGCAGGAACTCCATCTGAGCAAGATGAATTAGTTTGTTTTCTGCAATATAAAATCAGTGGGGTCGGTGATCTAAAAGCCCATACCGCGAAAAAGCTCATGTGAAGGCAGCGTCCTCAACATAAACGCGACAACTCTTTTATACTTCATAAAGGAACTAAATCTCTCCCAATTGAATGTTTGGGATGCTTGATGGATGTGACATCGGTGACGAAGGAAGAAGATGTCTCCTAACAATTATCGTTATCACAAGGAGGACCTTTCAAATTCGGTCGATTCGAGGGTTTCGCCGACACAATTAGCAACGAAAACAGGTAATTTGTCATTGGAGTTTAGCCACTGCAAAACCGTAGTACTATTTTTCCACAAGTAGACATGACTCAACTAGCAGAACAACTTGAAGCTCCAGCTTAGGTATAGATAACGCTTTTATCGGCGCGACACCAGTATTACCAAAGGTGAAGGATAAATGAGTTTTGCGTGAACTCAATATTCGCGCACTCAAAAACTCAACAGAACAAAAAACGCCCTGCGAGTTATCACCGAACATGCGAGGCTCAATTTGATCAACAATTTATAAAAAACAACAGCAGGGAATAGTCAGTTGCCCTAAGAGTGAGAGACCGGAATGCCATTCGAGAATTTTTTTTTTGATGTCTTCCGGTAATTCGTCAACCCAACTTCGGCCTCTGATTTTCCAAATATCTATAAGCAAAAGAACGGCACTAACTGTTTATGGAGCTACTAACGCATCAGGGTTAAAGACAGAAGAGAAAAACTCAGGACGGTTTGTTGAGTTATTGCATTATCGAGACGCCGATCCACACCTCTGCTAGCATCCAATGTGTCTTAAGTATGGTTCCACTTAAGACCAAAGACTGATGATTAGTTGGCACCGTTACATGTTTCATTGACGGGCGCAAAGAAGGTCTTTTGTAAAATTCTGGGTTCATTGCTAAATTAATTTCATCAGGATTACTGAAAAATTTACTTAATCAAAATAAATCCCCCAAATTAAATAACGAAACTAAATCTCGCCCAATTGAATGTTTGGGATGCTTGATGGATGTGACATCGGTGACGAAGGAAGAAGATGTCTCCTAACAATTATCGTTATCACAAGGAGGACCTTTCAAATTCGGTCGATTCGAGGGTTTCGCCGACCCAATTAGCAACGAATACAGGTAATTTGTCATTGAAGTTTAGCCACTGCAAAACCGTAGTACTATTTTTCCACAAGTAGACATGACTCAACTAGCAGAACAGCTTGAAGCTCCAGCTTAGGTATAGATAACGCTTTTATCGGCGCGACACGAGTATTACCAAAGGTGAAGGATAATTGAGTTTTGTGTGAACTCAATATTCGCGCGCTCAAAAACTCAACAGAACAAAAAACGCCCTGCGAGTCATCACCGAACATGCGAGGCTCAATTTGTTCAACAATTTATAAAAAACAACAGCAGGGAATAGTCAGTTGCCCTAAGAGTGAGAGACCGGAATGCCATTCGAGAATTTGTTTTGATGTCTTCCGGTAATTCGTCAACCCATGTTCGGCCTCTGATTTTCCAAATATCTATAAGCAAAAGAACGGCACAAACTGTTTATGGAGCTACTGACGCATCAGGGTCAAAGACAGAAGAGAAAAACTCAGGACGGTTTGTTGAGTTATTGCATTATCGAGACGCCGATCCACACCTCTGCTAGCATCCAATGTGTCTTTAGTATGGTTCCACTTAAGACCAAAGACTGATGATTGGTTGGCACCGTTACATGTTTCATTGACGGGCGCAAAGAAGGTCTTTTGTAAAATTCGGGGTTCATTGCTAAATTAATTTCATCAGGATTACTGAAAAATTTAATCAAAATAAACCCCCCAAATTAAATAACGAAATTAAATCACGGCTGATCTTAAATGCATGGGTAACGTTCACGAACGAATCCAAGTAAAGTTCATGTAACTTTTTTTTGTATACGACTTACGCGGCCTCAGGGTATGTGGACATATTATCAATTGCTGTTTTTCGGAAAACGAAATTGACGCATGTAGATGAAGCCCGGGCGCCGAGTTTATGGCGAGTGTACTGGTAAACTAAATCATCGGAAATGGTATCCTCTCGCTACAAAAAAACTGAGAGCATGTTGAACGAGGGCGAGGACTCCTACCTGGAGGACCATACCCTCTTTATCCGCAGAGATGGCTGCTTGTGCTGACGGAATTGCAAAAGTACAAAAACTAAATTTTGGAGCAGGTCCGGACTTATTGCAGCAAAACGGATTTATTTAAGGATCTGCCGTTGAACTTGAAAGCCCCATTAAGGACTCGGTGTACCTTACCCGGCTTGTTCGGGTATACGACGGGATGCTGCGGAAAATCGGAAGATACCATTCGCGATTGAAACGCGAACGTGGATTTTGCGGTTCCACAGTAACAACATAGCCTTTCCCAATTTCCTCTCTAATTGTGTCTCCAATATTTTGACTATTTGACAATTACTTACGAATTCTCTTTAAATGGAAAACGATAACTAAACTGAGACACTGTATTGATGCATAATTAAATCAAATTCATTTAAACAACATTAGTTTACAAACTGGGGTAATTTGACGCCTCAAAGCTTCTGCTTGAAGCCTACTTTGTAGCTTTTTGAGCTTTAAGTGGTAAGCGGTTAATTTCCGACGTGTTTTAAGAATGTCAAGGTTGGCGCTATAACGCCTCAGAAAATGGAGAGTCTTTAACTCAAGGGAAGGAGGCTAGTGGAGCTCTTTGTACATCTCAGTTAGTACCTGGTCCTTAGCCTTAATCTTTTACGACGTTCAGAACGAGAATACCTGTTAAATCTAATTTTTTCCTTTATACCCCGTTCCGTTGTCCCTATAGTTTACAATCGTACAAGTATTTGAATTATACCGTAATTACAAAATGAAAAGTTGCTCACTACTCAAGTTGCAATTGTTGTCGTCGCGTTGACTATTTATTGAGTTAACTATGGCGTCTTTTGAAAAAGTCGCAACATTGAGACAAGAGGTTACGAAAGTAGGATCTATTCTCTATTCTTTTCTGAGAGTTCCTAGCGTTAAAGTTCAATTTTAAACCGGGTTTCGTGAAACACGTTTTTTTGACGCGCATCTGAAAAAATCAACATATTCTACTTAACATCATCGTAACTGACCACCTAAAATTACTCTCACACAACGAAAAATAATCGGACAGGAGCAAACGGCTTCGATACACTTGAAACGAGCTGGCTTTCAGTTTTACCAAAGGTGGGTGGGGGATATGTCAAATTGGCTAAGTTCTAACAACACGCGCGGAAGAATCCTGAGCATTAAAAAACTCAACTTAAATTGCCTAATATTTCACTTGCAGACCACTTAACATAAGGTTGGTGTCGTCTCACAGCACAGTTTCGCGGAGTTCTGGCGACGTTTTGAGGATTTTTTTGACAATTTTTTTTTATGATTTCACAAAGTTTTTCAGAAAATTTGATCAGCCGGTTCGAGTCAAAAATTAATCCAATTTTTTTTTCTAGTGCCTACTTCCTATGTTCCGATTTCACGGATTAACCTTCTGCTCACATATATCATAAATTTTTTGTTATCGGGAAAAAGTGTCAAGCGTTTTGTCTATGTACCAATTGTAAAATTTTTCAGTTCATCGGAGCTGCTCAAAAATTTTGAGTATTGAGAAAAAATCTCGGGTGCTAGCTTGCGGAAAATTTTCAACTTGTAGTATATCGTATATAATTTTATAGCATAAATCGGAAGTTTTAAATGACTTTGAGGCAATTCGAAAGTTTTAAATGATCATGATGTAATAATGTCCTCGAGCCGAATTGTTTCTTTTTGACGGTCAGCCTTATTCAAGGTTGAACCAAAATAGAAGCAAAAAACAAAAATAATTCTCAAAAAGGTAGAGAACCCTTTTTTTAGTATGTAGAAAAATCGGGCCGTGGGGGATTCGAACCTACGCTGAGAGGATCTTCTTAGTTTTAGTACATTTAGAATAGTCCGCTCAGCCATTAATTTTGGGCTCTTTTTCCTAACTCCCCCCCACCTCACACGAGCGTAAATTTTATGGTCTAACGAGTGGCTTTACAAGGTTGATTATGAAGACCAAATATATTTGTCATGGCCTAATTAGTCTGCATGTCATTTTTCATGACAATCGGACAATGTGAAAAGTAATTTTAATAAAAAAAATTTGCAGGTGGGGGAAAGGAACAAGGGTCTAATTTTGTATAGAATTGAGTTTCACTTTGTCTTTGTATGCATTTATACTCTAGTTACATTTGCGTTGCAACAGAAAAAAAATCACAAAAGTTTTTTCATCGACTTCAACTAATTTTTTTTTCGGTTTAAGTTAAGCATAAATATTGTAAGCCCGCTCTCTCTCGCCTTTATTCGCTCGAAATTAGACTGAAAAATAAACATTCAAATCGGTTATTATCGATATTGATTTAGTGGTACCTGATTTTGCGTGGAAAACAAAAATGACAAAAAACTAAAACACACCAGAAGACAAGATTACTCCCCATTTTCAATAATTCTCTTTAAATCATTTTTCAAGAGTTCAAGATGAGGTTTAAAATGCGCTCAGAGCTTTTGCTTTTTGAACCTGGGAGCAGAAGATATGTACGTTTCAGTTGGACTTTCTCTCTTAAATCCCGCCTTATTTTGTTTCAAAATGCAATAACTGCCTTCCAATAATTGTCTCAATTATTAGAGAAGACTCCTTGAAAAATGAAATCAAAATAGTTTCAGTTTTTTTTTGTTAAAACCTCACTGCTACCTTTCGGTTCATTGAACTCACTGATTCCTAAAACCCGCATACTGTCCATCTTGATCAGCTCGTCCAGAATGAGTTCAGTGCCCACTAGGCCGAACAGAAGAGGGGCGACGAAAGACCATGCATCTGCGAAGGAAGCACTCACGCTCTGTTTTACTCGGTATGGCCACCGAATACCTAAATACATGATACAATTTAAGGTCACCCTTTTCGCCCGACCTCCACGGTTGCGCCACATCCCTCTTCGATCCACTGGTAAACCTACTGCTCAATACTTTGTCCTGTCAATTTTCAAAATTACACTTTGCTCGCAGTACATGCTGATTTTTTTTGACAAAAAAAAATAAAACTATTTACCCATATGAATTATGATGAATTACGAATTATAATCTGACGCGAATGTCCGATGTGCCGAAAAAAAAAATTAAAAAAGGAAAACTTGTTAGGTCTACTGGGAGTTCCGAAAATAAATGTACACTTTGAAACAAAAGTTGATTCGCCTTTGTTCGCATCATTTGATGCTATGATTTCAGAGCGTGAACAAGAAATAAGGAAAGAAAATCAACACAACCTACATAAATGTCTTCAATCCGTTCAATGACGAATGACCCAGTGCCTTCGAATGTGCAAAAATATGTTTCGCAATTTTGTCCAGATCCCGCAAACGCATGAATTAAAAGAGATTCACGCCACTGATGTTTTTCGTGCGACATCCTTTCAACATCATTTAAGGTTTTACACCCATAATTTCAATCCTTGAACAGTAGTTGAAAATGAAAAAACTTAGCTCGCCGCTTCTTAAACAGGGGGGGGGGGGGGGGGGCACAACAGTGGTTCGCCGTGATGAGCTGTACAGTCCTGTCCTTCGTGGATAAATGGTCTTACTCGCTTATGAAACTCTGTTTAGGACCGAAAACTGGTATGCTTGTCTGTGGCGATTGTCTGTGGAGACTCGGGTAACTGCTGAAGATGTTTTTTACCCCAGATCGTTCATGACTGATCTAAAAAAAATGATCCTTTGCTTCTACGAATATCGGATGTTTGATGCTGCGTATGTGAGATTGTAATTTTCCTGGTTATGCCTATATCTGAGGACGAGTGATGATCATTGACAGTGTATCATTTGACCATTCTGCTTAATCTCCTCTCGCCAGTGTCGCTGCTAACAGAAGTCATCCGGTGGTTCTCATTACCTCTGTCACCTAATTTACCGTTCAGAGCTTTTCGTCAGTGCCGCGCTCTCAACTATCATCTCATCGACCTCGTCTTCTGTTATCTCAGAAGAGGCAAACGTATCTCATTGCGTTTCTTATTCGCATTGTATTTTGATTTGTTTCGATTTGAGTTTTGACAGAAGTGATGAAACCAAAGTTCATGCAAAACTGCTGATATGTTGATGTGTATGGGTGGGTAAATGATCTCAAAAAAGAGTACTAACTGGACACGAATGCTGTGACAACACTGGCCAGTGGTCCCACTCCCTTCTGGTTGTAGAACTTGGACACTATGATGAAGGAGAGGGCGGCGAGGAGGAGGAGGAAGAAGCGGATGCGGTTGTTGCGGCCACTGTCTCCGAAGCTGATGTACTTCTCCTCCGTCTCCACCTCTGTCTGAGGAGGCACCCACCAGAACACACCACTCAACACTAGACAGAATCCCACACACATATACAGGACATTGATACTTGTTCCCCCAAAGATCAAACAATGATATTAACTTTTTTTATTCAAAGCCAAATTTTTCAGCATTTAATTTCAAAATATTCCAATATATTCGTTTCTTCGCACTTTTTCGAAGATTCTGACCAAAATTGAGCTTTTTCGGTGCGCAACTTTCTCCTCAAAATTAGTAGAGATTGGCTTCATAAAAGCTTTTAGAAAAGTTTTGGGTATCATTCATGCTCGGCCAAAATTGTTTGTCGTACCTCCGGGCGGTAATATTCCCCTGTATCCAGCGTACTAGCCTGTGTAGAGTATTTAGAACTATATAACTGTATTTATAGTTAAAGAAACAAAAAACAAACATTTTTAACATAAAAATCGAACATTTCAAATTTTGTGTTTTTAACCATTCAAGTTGGCTTAATTGATCCGCAGAATATAATATGTTTTTAGAGAAGATCAATGTACCATTTATTTGTTGTAAGATAAGAAAAATTGCGTGTTAAAGCGGTCATGTAATTAAACACCCAGCTCTTCGTATCACCCGCACCTCGATTTTTTTTGAAAATGAGTAAGCAAAAACATGCAGACATATTTTTCTCGACACAAGGTCCGAATCACGCGACCAATGGGGCTTTAATATGCTACCACAATCGGCGTCTTAGACTTTTGGATTAAAAAAGCATCACACGCAATATTTCCTTCCAGTCACTTTTAAGGTCGACTAGTTTTTCAAAGATTTGATGCCAATAATGTCTCAGTTGGCTCAGTTTAGTGGACCAACTAAATTTTGACGTATCATGCGAAGTTTTGGAAGTGTTTTGATTGAAAAACAAAAAAAAATCTTACAGCCTCTCGGATTACTAAATCCAAGTTTCAATTTCTCTTGCGTTAACCTTCTAACCCAAACCAAACCAACTAATATCCGGCTGATTTAAAAATTTTATACTGTTTGCAACATAATGAAGTCCAATCGGAATCGCCCTAATTCAACCCGAAAAAAAAAAGCTTTTACTTTTTGAAGTGAGTGGAAACAACTAACGTAGTGCAATTGCTATGCAGGCCACAGTCCATGCAAAAGTGACCAGCACCAGAGTTCCGGCTTTTTCGTTCTCGAATGCAGGCACACTAATCAGAGAGTAGGCGAACAGGGCACTGATGTCGTCCATACTGGCTGCTGTGATGATCAGAGGCGGCAGTCCATTGTCTGAAAGAAACATAAATACTATGTCAAATTCGCCAGTAGTGCACAAGCTTCCGACCATTGTCACCAAAGCAAAAAAAGTCACCATTATTTTTGAAATTTTCATATTTTAAGAGCGTAAGACCAAATAGCGATTATTTGCAGCTTAAAAACAGAAAAAATTTTTTCTTGTATGAAGTGTCATTTGGCCAGAAATAAAATATGGACTCGAAATTTTTCGAAATTCAACAAAATTTTATGATTGGCATTTTTAAAATAAAATTACCCCAATTGAAAAAACTATATCAATAGGTAATTTATTGTATTCCGCTGGGAAATCTGGTAACTAAAATCCACTTTCGGAACTAGAAGTCGATCACGTCGTTTTTTCTATGACTCTTACACTTTTGCGGCTGCGATAGCTTGCCTTCCTTTTAACAGAGCAAATGTAATGAGGTTTAAACAAAACGAAAATCAAACATGAAAATCAAATTTGAGCGTTCATAAGTTCTAAGATTTTATCCTGAAAAAAGTCATCAAGACTTAAATAGTAGTATTTAATACGTTCCTGACTCGTAAGAAAGTTTCAAAACATCTCCAAAAAAATGTTGAACGTTTCTTAGCTTGAGGAAAATAATTTTCGAATTCTCCTACAACGATCTTGTTACGCTGAAGTTTTTCCGCTGCTTGAATGCTTTTTATTTTGTTTGTTTTTCGACACTTTCGTGAAAGTTGTTTTTGACATTTTAAGGAAAGTTTTTTTAAAATTATTGGTGTATTTTGGCGCGTTTTTCCTCATAAATAACTAAATCTATCGATTTGGCTGGCTCAAATGAGTGATTTTGATTTCAATTTTTTTTTAAAAATTGGAACAACTTTTTCTGAAGATTCGGAAAACAGAAGAAAAACAAAACAAGAAATTTGAAGAAAGACTCAAGCTACAACCAGTCAGATTTTTTTGAAGAAAAACAAAACGAGAAAAAAAGTTTTCTAACCTTAGGCAGGAAATAATGAGTCAAACGAAATTGTAGGTTTATAGCTTGATTCAAACGAACTTTATACTTTTCTTAGTTGCTATAAAATAAGAACATGGCCGAAACAGAATTATTCAGCTCAAAAAGAAAAGCCAAAATTGAGCTGTTTTCTAAGTAAAATTCAAGTAGCAGCCTTGAAAGAATCAGAAAAGTTAACGCACAAAAAAAAACAACTAAAAGTCTTAAACTATATAAACTATATACAAATACGATACAAATCTGAATATTTCCACTACCGTTTAACTGCTGTTTCACCTGACATTTCACCAAAAAATTTTTAAAAAAAAACTTGAAACTTTAAAATTTCAGTTACAAGTTTCAACATAGTTTGAGCAAACTGCTGGGAAAAATTTGATTTTTGTTTCTGGACAAAGTTAGTCGAGACAGAACACGCATTCTGTTTTAACCTAATACAGTAATCATATCGTGATCTTTTTAAAACGTATTTATAATGAAACAGTTTTTTGATTTTTAAGTTTGTTTTATTTGCTGTGAAATATGAACATGATAAGGAAAATGCAATTCAGCTGAGAGATACTTGTGAGAGTTCTATTTAAAAAATGACAGGTTAAGTTCCAGGTGAATAACCTTTTAGAACCTACTCGAATATTGAAGAGCACAACTTGACACTTTTGGCAAACTGATTTCATGTAGGAAATAGCTTTAAAAAAGAATCAGAATTAAATCAGCTCAAAAATGTAATAATAAAACTCAAGTTTGTAACTGGAAACAAACACGAAACTAGTTTGTTCGCATTATAACAAAATTTTGAAGATTCGGACCATCCTTTAATATCTATGACGTATATGTAAAAAAGACAGATTTTATTTCAACTTTTATTGACAACTTTCACTCCACACGCTATATTAAAGCGTTAAGTGATACAATATGATATAGACAGTGTACTACAAAAAACCAAGTAGCTTGCCTCATTTTAGTTTGGATTACAAAAGGAGGCGGATCACTTCGCCAATGGTGCATTATAAAACAAATTATATCAAACGCTAATTATTCTAATTCGTTCTATCTTCACATCTTCATAACTTTACGAAACAAAGAATCCGGTTCAGAAGCTGTTTTTTTGCCTAATTTTGTGCAAATAATGACAGGTTAAAATGTAGGAAAGAGCTAGTTGAACTCTTGTTTTTGATTGACGAGAAAAATCATACCGAGCTTAATTATTCGGTCAAAAATACCACACGGTCTGAAAAAGGTATTTTAATTTTCATTGTTAGCTTTTCTTATTGTAGGATCTGATAAAACAATTGTAGGATCTGATAAAAACGTTTCTTATTGTAGGATCTGATTAAAAAAATGTTACACTTTAGACGAACAGCTGTTTTGCTTCAACACTCAATAAGAAAAAAGTCACTTCGATTATTTAGAGGATCTTGGCCTTTCTTTCTGATCAAAACAATCGGCCAAATTTATGCAAAAAATTTCCTAGAAATTCATGATTTGGCAGGATCAATAATTAAATTATCAAGATATGTTTTTAAAAGGATTTTCTTCTCAGTAAATGCAGGTTTTGAGAACCACTTGAAAATTTAATTAAGCTTAGTCAACATGTTGACCATTGCTCTTCGAGCTTTCAGAAAAGCTTTTTCGTTTCTTTTTGATTTTTTGTCTTAAAATTAAACACCTGAAGCGAACTTTATGCTTGAGGGAAAATTGAAAAAGCTGAAAAATTTTTCTAATGGATTTTTGCTTAAATCATTGAAAATGGAAAAAAAATTGTATTTGGGTGTACTTTAGTTTTTTTTCTTTTTGTTTATGTTTTACGCAAATTCAGTTGCCACAACCACTCATCGGGGATGGGACGAGCGGTAAATTATAATAAAGCTCTTTCAGTCATAATTTGTTTGACACTATAATTGACACTAATTTGCAAAAATTAAAAATCTTTTTTTGTAGTTTTGTTTCAAATGTGGTGGGTTTATTCTGTGCTATTAAATTTTTGCAAATTTTGAAGGCTTTGAAAAAAAAGCGGTCAGGCAAAACAACAATTTTCAACCTTTGCAAATTTGTTGTTTAAAAATGGGGTGTTTTTCCTCTTGAAAAAATAAACTGAAAGTAAACAGAAATAATACCGCAAAAAAATCAAATTGGAATGTGAGCAACTTTTTTTAGAACAAGACCTACTAAAGAGTCTTCACTACGTTTTTTGACTCTTAAAACCCAAAGCAAGATTTCAGAACGTTTTTTCATTCTTAACACTTTAATTTTAAACCTGATTCTAATAGAATTTTTATGGAAACTGTTTCGTTTTTTTTTAAATTTATTTGTGGTAGAAAACAGAGCCAACATACAGTGGGAAAATTTTCAGTGAACATAATAAAACCGGAAAAAAGACTGAATTGTTATTTCAGAAACTTGACTTTTCGATATTGAAAATTAAAAATCTATGGCGTTAAAACTCTTTGAATTTTGAAACAATTTTTGATTGACACTATTTTGTTTGAATTAACCTAAATAGGCCTTGTTTTATTCCGCTGGGAAATCTGAAAAAAATATATTTTTGAAATTAAAAGTTGATCACGTTTTGCATGACCTGTGCCCTTTTGCTGTTCGATTGTGGAGTTCGCAATCGTTTTAACGAGGAAATTAACTGAACTTATTTGGGTGAACTTATTTAACGTTAACGCATATGCGAACTTGTACTTTGTAACAATTCTGCCAAATTCTTTTGCAATATCGTCTCAATTTCTCACCATATCCCTGCTGCTGTATCTTAAGCATGGTGGGCACAATGATAGCTGGAGAGATGCCACAGATGATGAAACCGAACATGTATGCCCATGCCAAGGTGAAGTCCAGGGCTGTCCATGCCATCATGGCCACTATGGTCGCCTCAACCACAACACCTGAAAACATCAACACTCTGACTCACCAGCAGATTTAGGGGGGAGGGGTTGCTGACGCTTTTTTTCTTAGGAATTCGGCCCCCTGCCGACCCAAAGGGTCCCCCTTTCTACTATTTTGAGATATCCATTTTTGGTGACGGACCCTTAAATTTTTCTAAAGGCGCCTTCGGTGCCAAGATATACTAATTTTCCTGAGGGAGCGCGCGGCGAAAAAAAACGCAATTTTTGGGTCAAAATTTTCCTAAAATTGCTTAAAAACGCTTTTTTTCGGCCTGTTTTTTCAAGTTTTGCCTGCGGCGCAGAAAATTTGTTCAAAATGGGCTCCTTAGAGTAATTTAGGAGAGCTCAGAACAATAATTTTGTCGACCTAAAAAACGTCGACAAAATTCTTAACAATTTTTTGAAAATCCGCCCCCCCCCCCCCCTCGAGAAAATCCTTGATCCGCCCCTGCTCTGACTATTTTCAAACGTCCAAGAAGTGACCTGTAAGTTCTTGTTTGAACTTCAGTTTGAGAAACAATAGGTGAACTTATTACATCAAGTGCTAATAAAAACTTTCAAATGGTTTTAAGATTGTTAGTATTTGCAGACAACCACGAAAAGAAAAAGAGCCATAAAACCATTTTTAATTATATTGACACCAAATTGTGACCTGGTGTGGTTGCAAGTAGTACAATTGTGCACCCCATCTGTTTGAAGGTGGCCAGATTGAGAGAGAGTCCAGCCCTGACTAGAATGATGGAGAAGGCGAAGTCGTTCAGGATCTCCTTAGTTGTCCGGTTGATCGTCCGGATGAAGGGCAGACAGTTGGACAGGACGAAACCGGCCAGCAACATACCTTATGCACACATTTAAGTACGAAAAGTGAAAGCCGCAGCATTGTACAGACGGAAAAAAGAAAATCTATTATGGCGCAAGTAACTAGTTGCATTTAGACAATTTTACCAATTTGACGAGTTTTTTTATTCATACAAAACATGTTGAATGCCAAAATATTGAAGTGTAGTAAAAAGTAGGTGAAGGAATGGTAGTTTGTGCTATCGTTTCTAGTTTTGATATCAGTGGTTGTTTTTTTTCTGTCACAGATTGTTTTTTTTTTTTCAAATTTCCATCTGCATTTTAGATACCACCAACAGAAACAATTTAAATGTGAAGGTTCTTGACCATCCACAATATAATTTGCTTATGAAGATTTGCTTGGATTGAACACGACGTTCAGAAGAAACTTAGAAGAATTGCTAAGAATATTAAAGCCGAGCCAGATACACGATGAAAAGACTTGCAACTTTAAAAACTGAATATCTTAGCGAAACGCCATTTTTGATTTTTTCTTATATTTTGCACCTGATTATTTTTGAACTTAAATGTGGCGTTATCTAAATTGTAGCGCTGTATACAAAGAAGCGCTTTCATGTTGCCAAGATTTAATGTTTTTCAGATGTCATTTTTCATTTAATCTGCATTGATTACTTCGGGAAAAAAATATTCCTGGCACATTTCAGACAAATATTTTTCAGACAACGTTTTAATTGATAAAACTTAGCCAAAAATTGTGACAACAACAGTTTTAAGCTCGACTCAGCAGCACTCTTCTCTGGTTGCGTTTGAAACGATTAAGATGGTGAATAAGTATTATAGTGCACAGGGGCGGATCTAGGATTTTCTCGAGGGGGGGGGGGGGGCGGAATTTCAAAAAATTTTCTAAAATTTTGACGACCTTTTTTTTTTTAGGTCGACCAAATTGATTTTTCGAGCTCTCCCAAAGCACTGTTTTGCCCCTATTTTGGCAAATTTTTCTGCGCCGCAGGCAAATTTTTGAAAAAACAGTCAAAAAAAAGCCGTTTTTGGGCACTTTTTGAAAAATTTTGACAAAAAAAATCGCGTTTTTTTTTGGCGCGCGCTCCCCCTCAAAGTTAGTATATATTGGCGCCAAAAGCGCCTTTAGAAAAATTTTAGGGTCAGGGCGGCCGACTGACCCTAAAATTTTTCTAAAGGCGTTTTTGGCGCCAATATATACTAATTTTGTGATATACACAGTGCTGATTTAAATTATCCGGACAAAATGAACAAAACTTGAATTTTCAAAACCGTTTTTTCTCAAATTGGGTTAAGATTAGACAAAAAGGAAGAGAACAAAAGTTGCTTAGAATTTCATCAGAAATAACATGGTATAATTTTTTCCGAAATTCTCAACCGAAATTCTCAACCAAAGTTTTACCCCAAAATGGGTCACTTTGGTTTTTTTCAAATAACCAAGAGTTACGCTAAAACTATTGCACCATAATAATTCTGAGGAAATTCGAAGCAACTTTTGTTCTCTTCACTTTCTGTCTATTCTTAACCCAATTTGAGAAAAACGCGTTTGATAATTTAAAACAGCACTGTAGCAATAGGTTTCAGGAGCGCTAAATGCTCGAAACTTGCATGGTCTTTGATTGGCTCGAATGTTTCTCATGTAGAGAGAAAAAGTATATACTACTAAATCACTGGCGCTAATAGTGACACTTGCGAAACAATTTATGTCGAAAACGGACAATGTTTTGGTGTTAACCGATGAAAAAAACTTAAAAAGCATTACTGAATATCAGTAATCACGCATCTTAGAAGAGTGAAAAGAAATCAAATATAATGAGTTTTTTTGGATTAAATTGTTCACAAGATAATCGACTCTCATGTTACCCTCGAACAACAAAATGGAATAAAAAATCAATTACATTCCACTGTTTTATAAATTTAAAACTAATTATAATCATTTAAAAATTAATTAAAATAGATTTTTTCCACTTCATCTTTATTTCGCGTCAGGCAAAAGTTTGCAATAAGTTCTGCAATTATCAAATGAATAATACCGAAGCTTTGCGAAACGAGTACACAGCCTACTCGATTTCTACAACTTAAACTTCCCAAACTGCATAACAATTTCATTCCGAAACCTCCTCATCGTTTGCCAATTTGCCAATTTGCCACCTTACACCCCTAACAATTGTCATTTTGTCCTTTACACCCACCACCACCCCACTAAAAAATAACTACATCAACTCCCTTCTCCCCAACACCAAAACCAACCGCCCCCTCCCAGACATTTAGCTCTTTGCCACTTACCCACCAACGTTTGTTATTTGCCTTTGTCCTTACCCCCCACCCCAGTCCCCAACCAGTCTCCTTACCAGATCCATCTTCTTACAAATCAGACACACCTCCCCCCAGCAGATACATCCCGTCCCCCAAAACAAATTGACAGATGTTTTTGGCCAAGTTGTTGACAAGACAGTTTAAAAAGGCCATTATTGGAAAATATTCCCTGTCAAAATTAGATACTTACATAGTTACATATTTACATACATACATGCATACATGCATACATACATACATACATACATACATACATAAATACCTAAAAACGCACAGACATATATACAGGCAGGGGCGGATCTAGGATTTTCTCGAGGGGGGGAAGGGCGGATTTTCAAAAAAAATTCGAAAATTTTGACGACCTTTTTTTTTTTTTTAGGTCAACCAAATTGATTTTTGGAGCTCTCCCAAAGCATTTTTTTGCCCCCATTTTGGCTAAATTTTCTGCGCCGCAGGCAAATTTCTGAAAAAACAGTCAAAAAAGCCGTTTTTGGGCACTTTTTGAAAAATTTTGACAAAAAAATCGCGTTTTTTTTGGCGCGCGCTCCCCCTCAAAGTTAGTATATATTGGCGCCAAAGGCGCCTTTAGAAAAATTTTAGGGTCGGTCGGCCAAAAATGGATTTCTGAAAAAGTATCAAAGGGGGACTCTTTGGGTCGGCAGGGGGTCGAATCCCTGAAGGGGGAAAGGCATCCGCCCCCCCCCCCGCCCCCCCTAAATCCGCCGCTGTATACAGGCATACAGAATAGAGTTTTTCAGATCTGAATTAGAAAGGTTGCTAGGTACGGGTAGTTTAAAACACGGAAAAGACGTTGAAAATTGCTTCTCAATAAAGTGGAGAAAAATCAATTATATTGGATTTCTATTATCTTTATCTATAAAAATGAAATAAAAAATCATTGATTTGCATTGAATTTTAATGTTTTAACATGATTTTTTTTATTTGATTATAATCGATTACTTTTTTTTATAGAGACAATGACAACAAAACTCAAATATAATCGAGTTTCATCTACGGAACTCTAGAGCGGGATTTGGTGGTCAGGCAGTTGATGATCATCTGCGTTCTCTGTGCTGCTGTTAATTGCTACCACTAGATCTCATTCAAGTTATATTTCTTGACTTTATGTCCGGATCTTTGCCCGGATCTTTGTCCCGACTCTAACTCAATAATTTGATTTGATTTTGTGTTTGGCTCGCATTACGAGGCCAAACTGTGCACTGAATAGGCGCACATTTTTGTGTATGTATGTTCCTGGATTCCATAGACAAACCTTTAAACTTGTTACAAAATGTTAGTGAATTCTACTTACCAAACTTCCGTGGATTCCACGTGCAAATAACTGTAACGTAAATTTTGTCGGCACATTTGTTGTGCCGCGGATTCCATAACAAGCGAATAAAGCTAGTTGTTCTGGATTCCGCAACTGTAAGTGTATTCCACAAAAAGTAAGCGGAATCCGCAATTTTAAGTGGAATCCGCAGAATTTGTAAGCGGAATCCGCAAACGTAAGCGGATTCCGCAAACTCTAAGTGGGTTCAGAATTTTGTTTATTACTGAACTTGCAAATGAACAATTAAAAGCTAGAGCTGGGATTCTTATCTATAGCAATGCGGAGTTCAAAGGCAAGGAATTAACCGTGGTCAGCGGGACCCACGAAGAAATTTCAAAAACATTTTTTAACTAAATCGGTGGATGTTACCTTTTAGTATTTTGGAAACAAAACACCGAATAAGTTAATAATTTGGAGTCTCAGTGTTGAGAGTTTTTGGAAATACAACACATAGCATATCGCCAAGTTAGGCCAGTATTTGGGATTGCGTCAATCGCAAATACTGATTTTGGAAGCATAACGCCGGATAATATCAATATTTGTAGTCACTGGGTTGAGAGTCTATGGAAACACAACACACACCATATCGCCAATTTAGGTCAGTATTTGGGATTGCGTCAATACTAAATACTGATTTTGGAAGCTTAAAGCCGAATAAAATCAATATTTGTAGTCATTGGCTTGAGAGTGTTTGAAAACACAACGCACAGCATATTGCCGAATTAGTTCAGTATTTGGGGTTGCATCAGTATTTGGGATCGGTAGGTCAGTATTTGGGATCGAAGTTGAGATCGAAGTTGACAGGATTTGAGATCGAAGTTGGGTTGACAGGAGTTGAGACCAAACGTTTGGTATTTCAACTGGTAGTTGATCAATGTAGTAATTGAGATTGATTTTCTGGTGACCAGTAATTAAGAGATATAATTTTAAACGCTATACTACACACACATATATGTAAACGAAATCCGCAAACAAAATGGGGATTCCACTTACAATTTTCGGATTCCACTTACACGTTGCGGATTCCGCAACATCTCAGTTTAACTATACAAATGTCTTATTATATGTTTGCGGATTCCACAAACTGTTCTGGATTCCGCAAGTACGGTTGCGGGTTCCACAAAATCGCCTATTTTTGAAACGATTTTGAGCGGTACAATGTTTTAGGTATTTGTTTGCGCAATCCAAAACAGCAAAGAAGATCAAAGAAAATTAGCAAAGTTGCGGATTCCGCGACAAATCTGATTTTGGCCTATTGCGGAATCGTCTTACAATGCACAGAATGCACAGTTTGGCCTCGTATTGCTAACCGAAATTTTAATTGCATTGTCCTTGTCTACAGAGCGTACAGGTTTTGAATGATATTTTTCAAACTGATCGAACTTGTTTTTTGGCAGAATATCTTGTTCGCAAAATTAGAATGCCAATCTTGGGTGCTGTTGCAGTCATAAAAATCTAAAAATCTATTAAAGTTATTTACGGAAAATTTTGAATTATGCACCATTTACACAAAATTGCAGAACACCTTGTAGCCTTTGTGAGACTGAAACATGGGCTATTGTTTTTTTTGTGCGTTGATTACAGGGACACGGAAAAAATTATCGGCTTTTGGCACGGGACTAAGTTGCCAATGGAAGCCATAGACAAGTGCGCCTAAAAATACAATCACTTGTAGTGGGATTCAGTGACGGGAAAGCACTAATAGTGTTTAGCTACAAAAACGAGTTTTGCATTGTAATGCATGAAAGAACTGAACACTTCATAAGCGATCTTCTTTGTAAAAGACACGATTAAATGCAGTTGAAGTCAATTGAAAAAAAAACTGAAAACGAAATAGAACTTTCATATTTTAAAGTTTTGAAAACCAAAAACATCATGGGGCAATTGGCTCACATTTTTTTCGACTTTTCTCATAGCAGTCAAATATTGACATTACTCACAAATTGAGTGCAGATGGCGCATGTATATTCTAGACATTTATTACTTTTTCAATAAACACCAAAACACTTTTTGCAGTAACAATTTTTAATGTTGTCTTTATTGGGACCAACCATTAGCAAAATATATGAATGTGTTCAAAATTATATTTGGAAAGTTTTCAAAATCAGTTTTTAATCCGATATCATCCCTTAAACATGTTATCAGCATGAATCTCGGCTAGTTGATAGTTTTCGTCTAACCGAGTATATCGGGCAAGTGGGCAGTTCGTAGCAGGAATGACATGAATCTCGCCGCTGCATACACTATGAACATTCCCAGAATTGTTGCTCTCACTTCTGACACATACTCGTAGTTCGGGTCCAATTCCGTCTCGCAAAAGTAGTTCACGAGCACGAATGACAGGAAAGCCAGTAGTAAACGCGTGAGTCCCCACCCGGGAAAACTATGAGGGGGGCATCTGAAGGATAAACAACAAGGGTTCTTTTTTATTTCCCGCTCCTTATAGGTTTCGTTTATCGTCCGTTATGCGGCGATTTGGATAAATTATATCCCAAAAATTTAGTTCACTGAAATTGGGAAAGCATCAATCAGGGCGCCACCCTTCAGAAACTCGCCCCACTTTGCAGCTGTTTTATGATAACCCTTTCGAACATTATTTTTCCATTAACGCCTTATATATTGATTTTCAGGTGTTGTAGGTATATTTATTGATCTTAATGTATTTTGATTTTTAGACGAATACTAATTTTCAAAGAAAGTTGCGGAGAAAATGCGCGCAAAAGCTCGCCTGCAGAAAAGTCAATGCAATTTGTTTTTCTAGTCATTTTTCTACCAAATGAGTTATCCAATTTGCCTATTTCAGTATGAATTTCGAACAAAGCAAAGTCCAAACGTATTTATACGGGGTCGAACAAATCTTTTTAAAAATGTCTGTCGAGACCGTCGCGAAAGCCAAAACGAATCGAATTTTGGTTGAGAAAGTCGAAACGACCGAAGCTGGGTCGAACTGAGCCGAACAAAGTCGAACACTTTTTTGTTTGGTCGAGAAAGTCGTAACAAACCAAAATTTGGTCAATAAAATTGAAAAACATAAGAATTTGAAAAAAAAACAAAAAGATACTGATTTTTGGTCGAGAAAGCCAAAACAAATCAAAATTTGGTCGAGTAACTTAAAAAAACACCAAAATTTGAAAAATCACAAAAAGATACTGAATTTTGGTCGAGAAACTCAAAACAAACCAAAATTTGGTCGAGAAAGTTTAAAAAACACCAAAATTTGAAAAACACCGAAAAGATACTGATTTTCGGTCGAGAAAGTCGAAACGAACCAAAATTTGGTCGAGAAACTTAAAAAAACACCAAAATTTGAAAAAACCAAAAAGATACTGATTTTCGGTCGAGAAAGTCGAAACAAACCAAAATTTGGTCGAGAAAGTTGAAAAACACCAAAATTTGAAAAGTGCCAAAAAGATACTGATTTTTGGTCGAGAAAGTCGAAACATAAATTGTGAGCACCTCGCCGTGGGTCATTTTGTGTTTTGTTTGAAGAAACTTGGACTTTCAATCAGATCAAGCTACAATAAACGTCCTGAACTTTTTTGGAAATTTAATAAAAAATCTCCGGATTCTGTTCATTGTCCACGCACCTGATGTACCAGCAAAAAATGGAGGGACAATCATTATCCAGGGTCTTTCCCTGTATCGGGTGTTCTCGGTAGGATAAGAAGCGCCTGAATTTGTCGCATTTTTTCTTCTTTTCACGCACATTTGTCTCTTCGTAATCGCCAACAGATGACATCAGATCGAATTAAATTTTTAAAATTATTTTTATCTTCAATTCAATTTCAAAAGCTACACTTTTTTTGTAGTTTGAAAAAGTCAAGACCACTAATGGACAAAAGTAAACAAGCACTCAAGTTTTTACGCTTTTTAAGGCTTACTGAAGTTAGCACATGACCGACAGCAAATTATTCTATTTACCCTTTTTGAACATATCAGTTTTTTCTTATTTCAAGGACTTTACCAGTTAAAGCCTGGTCTCAAAATATCGGTTTTTACTATATACAATTGATTTTTGCCACTGTGAGAAGTTTTGCTGAGCCTGAGTTTCAAAAAAATATATAAAACTTATTAAACGCGATTCATTGCAGTTTTTTTCTCATTACATTTGAAATGGATTTGTTAAGTCAACGTGCTTCTTACTACAGACGGTACAAAAACTTTTAGGATGTGAAAAAAAACGTTTAATTTTCTGACATAGAAAATTGGTAGCGAAACAGTTTGATATCGACCTTGATATCAAAAACCAGGTTACCTTAGATCATTTGTTTTTGGTCGTTGCAAATTTTTTGCAGGAATTCTTAGGAGACAAGTGGGCAAAAACAAGCATAATTTCATGTTTTTTCTCTAAAATGCCTGTTTTCAACAAAGAACTGGGACAATTTTGACATGGAATTTAAGCAAAATTTTTAAATAGATCAAGAGCAAATGATGAGAGCTGCCCTCTATGAAATTATCAAAATTTGGCATACCCTTTTTTTTGGATCTGAAATTGCCAGTTTTTACCATCTCAGCCTGATGAAAATTTTATGCGTCTTGAAAAACTATTTGCAGATGATAACAATTGGCATTTTCAGACCCGGAAAAAACTGGTAAAAGCTTAGAATTAAAAATTGATACTTTCACTGAAAGTATTTTAGATTATTTGCTGCCGGTCGACTTAAAAATTCTGCTAAAATTAAAAAATACCATTGTCTAAAATAGTCTTTGAAGTTAGGTTTTTTAGAGAGTAAAAACCTGAATTTGCTTTTATACTGGAGAAAAAAAGTAACGCAACTAGAGAAATTAAAAACAAAAAATTCGGGAAACTTTTTGAAATATCATATAAAATTGGTTACTTCTATTTTGGTTTTGCCCGGAGATAGTGATATACCTAGATTTTTTTTCAATCAAAAAAAGTCACAAACCTCTAGGTTAAAAAAATTTAAAAAAAGCTCATTTTTCAAAACTTTTATCGAAAATTTTTTCGCAGTTTTTGCAAAATTTTCTGAGCCGAGCGAGAAAACGTAACGTGAATTTGCACTTCTCAAAGAACGAAACAAAGATTTTTGGTTCTTACTAGTTTTTTACGGATCGAATTCTACGAACTTTGTGTCATTTGATGGAAGCGGTTTACTGTCTGTCAGATTTCAATTTTTTTCTGTTTCAATTCACGAGTCAGGCAAAAATATGTTTCTAACGTTTTGTTTTCTAACAAGGAATGAAACGAATTTATGATCACAGGGTTTAATAACAAATTTTTTTTTGAATTTTGAAAAAGGTTTGGTTTTGTTACTTTTTCTCCAGTATAATTTTGTTTTGTACACTAGTGTAAAATTTCTCCAAAAACCACATTACAAGTAAGCATTGCAAAGAGTAAGAACTTGAATTTGCAAATGCAATTGGTCCTTAGCGTAAAGGTCAAAGTGAGTTTACATGTGCGAAAGAAAAACAAACATAGCTGAAAACTGTTTCTTGAGTTATCACTAGGCCGTAGCAAAGCAATACCAGCCAATGTATGCATCAAAGGTCTTAGAAATTTTATCTTTTGCATATTAAAATATTTCGGTACACTATTAGTCTAGTGCACTGCTGGGAGTTGTTGCATAGTTGTTGTTATATTTCAGTATATTAAAAGATCTTTTGCACACTTTAGAGTTGCATCGAGCTACTAATGTATATCAAATTGCTAGTAGCAAAATTAAATTGAAGGATAGATGTTATGAACCACGCATCTTTCAACCAATGATTTACGTATCATGAAGTTAATCAGAAACTTCAAAATAAGACAAATGTTTCTACAAAACTTGCTAAGTACACCTTAGTTCAAAAATTGAAACATCTTTTTGCATGCACTGCTCACTAGCTCTTTGTTAAAACTTCATTACGAGTACAAACCAAAGTTTTTGTGAAATTTGAGCGCTTTCCGCAACAGACTGAAAACAGATTTGACGTGGAATCCGCAACAGTGATAATTTTCTTTGATCTTATTGCTGTTTTAGATTCCACAAACAATTAGATAAAAAACTGTACCGCTAAAGTATGCGGAATCCGGAACAATTTCTGGGACCTCTATAAAAACAATAGTATAGATGCATATTCACAATACACTGTCACTGAGTCTGTCACTGTAATTGGAATCCTCAAAATGTAGGCGGAATCCCCAACTTGTACGCGGAACCTACAAATTGTAGGGGCAATCAGCAAAATGTCAGCAGAAGTCGCATAAATTTCTTGTGCAATTTTGTTTGTTGTGGAAACCGCGGCAAAGCTAATTTGCCGACAAAAATTACGTTACAGATACTTGAGCTTACATTTTGGAACATGTAATCAAAGACTTGTACCTGGATTCCAGTGACCTACACATCAAACTGTGCGCCTCTCCAGTGCATAATTTGGCCTCGTAGCATCGAAAATAAGTAACTTTGGACCAAGCAGAGCATAATTGTCCTGGGTTGGCAATCCTACAAAAACTTTCCCTCTCTTAGTACCTGAATTTAATATTGCAGATAAATTTATAAATAACTAATTCTACTCTACTTTTTTACAACGTTGTTTTAAAATCGTTTTTTAAAAATAATTTTTCATTTTGCCCTAGAATTACAAACAATAGTTCATGAAACTTTTAGACGGTTCAAACTAATTTTTAATTAGATTTATACTATATAAAAAAAGATTAATTACATTCGATTTATTTAAATAATTTTTTTAATTATGTATATTGAAAATTTGAATTCAGAGAACCGACTTCTTCAGTGGAGTATACTTTTGTTTATTGAAATTTTGGTAAATTCAAGTACTATTCCGATAACCGGACTTTTACTCTATTGAAAATCTACCTACGGTTTTTCTGCATTTTCTTCGAAAGTCGGAAGAAAAAGATTATTCGTATCAAGACTGCTTGTGTGTTTTCAAATCAGGGTTGAAATTCAGATGTTTCCAGAAAAAGCAACGATTGTTTTTTATTGGAAACCTTACCGCCGTTTCTTAACAAAATACGAAGGGGTATAAATTGAAACTTAATTGGATCATTTAGCCTGCATCAACTTTCCTAACTTTTTGAGCTGAGTTTATGAAATCCTGGAACTTTCAAGTGCTTTAAAGATCCCAATTTGGCCTGAACAGTGCTAACTTGAAATCCTTGATAACAGCAAAGTTAATAATCACTGATAATTTTTCATTTTACATTTGTGCTCAAAACATTGATACTTTTTAGATGCTTGACACAATTGATTTTTTGAAATTGGTTTGCATATAAAAATCAGCATTTTTATTCCGTCACTTTCTTTGAAACGGTTCATGCTCGACGGGTTTATTGTCAATTAATTTTAGCTCATGACAAGTGAAAGTATCGGCATTTCGCGATAAGGAAGCTGAAACTATACGATCAAACTTTTATTTTTTCAAACTTTTTTAGTACTTAATCTTTATGCTTGTATGGTGATTGAAATCTAATATGTGTAAAGTTTGACAAACATTTTGATAGCATTTAGCTACCAATGCAGTTATTATTCGGACAAATTTTTAAAACAGTCATTTTTGCTCAAGTTGGGTAGTCAAACGATGCAATTTTGGACCTCTTCGAAGCTCGCAGGAAAATTCATTTCATTTAAAATTATTTAACTCAAAATTCAAATGATTTAATACAGAGAATGAATCGAGTGAAAAACTCGAAACTATAGCAACACTCTTACTCTTTTTATTATAATCTGAAGTCTTGTGATCAATTTCACTCAATCTACCAACATATCTTGTAACTTATCATTGAATACTTATTTGTACAGAAATGCAAAAAATTTGTAGCACAAATTTTGTCGGAAATTTTTTCTATTGAATTGTTTCTTAGAAAACAGAGAAAAAACCGGTAGAAAAAAAAAGATTTAATTCAAAATAATTTGTCGTGATCATTTACCTGATTTTTTGATGCATCATTGAAACTATATTCACATTATCTGAACTGAAATCTGCTCAAAACAGAGTCACAAGTTTTTTCCAAAAGTTAGAACTTTCAAAAATTGCTTTTCAATTTTCAGCAACCCAATTGCAAATGCATTACCATAAAAATCTTTTCGGAATAAGTATTTTTCCTCACCGCCTCATAAATTATTAGCTTGTAATCATAAACTTTTTTAGAAAAAAAATAATTTGAATATATGGTTTAGCCCAGACTATGTGCAAAATTGGTAACTTTCAAACTACCAATATCTCTCAATACACCTACTTGTCGTAACACTTTACTACAAATTTTAACAAAATCACACCATGAACTTGCGGCAATTTTTTAAAGTTTGTATTCAGAGAGTCTATTTTTTCAATGGAGTATATTTTTGTTTGTTGAAAGCTTGGTAAATTCAATTACTATTACAATACGATAACCGGAATTTTACTGTATGAAAAAATTACCTCCGGTTTTTCTGCACTTTCTTCTAAAGTCGGAACAACAAAACGGCTTGTATCCAGAATGCTCGTGTGTTTTAAACTCAGTGTTGAAATTTTGATGTTTTCAGAAAAAGCAACGATGATTTGTTTTTGAAATCCTTCCCGCCGTTTTTTAACAAATTACGAAGCGATATAATTTTAACATTTTAACACGTTATTTGGATCATTTAGCCTGCATCAACTTTGTTAACTTTTTGAGCTGGTTTTATTTGCTATGCGTTTATGAAAACCTAGAACTTTCAAGTGCTTTAAAGATCCCAAATTGCCCTAAATAGTGCTAACTTGAAACCCTCCAAAACATCAAAGAAAATAATCACAGAT